GAATGCCACTCGTCACCACTTGGACATTGAGCCATTGACCACAACTCTGAGTGCAACCATCCAGCCAATTCCTTACTCACTGAGTGGTCCATCTGTCAAATCCATGTCTCTCCAATTTAGAGACAAGGATGTTGTACAGGACAGTGTCAAATGCTTTGCACAAGTCCAGCTAGATGTCAGTTACTCTTCCCTTATCCACCAATGCTATAACCCCACCGCAGAAGGCCACCAAATTTGTCAGGTGAAGTCATGTTGGCTGTCACCGATCACCTCCTTATTTTTCATGTGTCTTAGCACAGTTTCCAGGAGGATCTTGCCAGGCACAAAGGTGAGACTCACCAGCCTGCAGTTCCCTGGGTCTTCCTTTTTTCCTTTTTTTAAAAATGGGCATTATTTTTCCCCCTTTCCAGTCACTGGGAAGTTCACCAGACCGGCAAAACTTCTCAAATCGGATGGATAGTGGCTTGGCAACTTCATCTGCCAGTTCCCTCATGACCCACAGATGCATGTCATCAGATCCCATGGATTTGTGCACCTTCAGGTTCCTTAGATGGCCTCAAACCTGATCTTCTCCTACACTGGGCAGTTCTTCATCCTTCTTCTCTGCCTTTGCCTTCTGTGACTAGAGCACTCGCTGGTGAAGACAGAGGCAAAGAAGTCGTTGAGTACCTCAGCCTTCTCCATATCCTCGGTGACCAGGTCTCCTTCTTTCTTCTGGAGAGGGCCCACATTTTCCCTAGTCTTCTTTTTTTTACCGACATACCTATAGAAGCTTTTCTTGTTGCCCTCGACATCCCTGGCCAAAGTTAATTCTATCAGGGCTTTAGCTTTCCTAACCTCATTCCTGGCTGCTCGGACAATTTCTCGGTGTTCCTCCCATGCTACTTGTCTTTACTTCCACAGTCCGTAGGCTTCCTTTTTGTGTTTGAGTTTGTCCAGGAGCTCCTTGTTCATCCATGCAGGACTCCAGGCATTTCTGTCCAACTTCCTCTTTGTTGGGATGCATCACTCCTGACCTTGTAGGAGTTGGACCTTAAACATTAACCAGCTTTCTTGGGCCCCTCTTCCCTCCAGGGCTTTATCCCATGGTACTCTACCAAGTAGATCCCTGAAGCTGCCAAAATCTGCTCTCCTGAAGTCCAGGGTAGTGAGCTCGCATGTGCGCCCACCCTGCTGCCCTAAGGATCTTGAACTCCACCATTTCATGGTCACTGCAGCCGAGGCTGCCCTTGAGCTTCACATTCCCCACCTTATCAGTGAGAACAAGGTCCAGCATGGCACCTCTCCTCATTGGCTCCTCTATTGCTTGGAGAAGTTGTCATCAATGCATTCCAAGAACCTCCTGGATTGCTTATGCCCTGCTTTGCTGTCGGGGTGGTTGAAGTGCCCCCATGAGGACCAGGGCTTGTGAATATGAAGCTTGTGAATGTGAGGCTGGTCCTTAAGAGTCCAGAGGCATCTGTTCACTCTGGTCCCAGGGTGACAGGGCTGTGCATGACCCCTCCTGAAGCTGGACTCCAGTCTAGCTCCAGTTGTTTCTGCAGTCAGAGCACCCCAAGTCTAAACCCCTTCATTTGTAGGCTGACTGCTGCAGAAGACTGTTTTCCCTTATTTCTTGACTCAGCACACAATTTTGTAGGATATACTCAAAGCATACTTGAACTGTATTCAAATGGCTAGTTGCTTAAATATCACAGTAGAGTGAGACCCCCCACACCAGCCTTGATCCAAGAATCACCTAAAATGGCCAACATTCATGGCATGGCTCTTCGGCTGGGGCTGCCTGCTGCGTTTACAGATCTGAGAACTGCTCCATCCCTGCCTACAAGAACAGCATCTCCCACAACATTTAGATTTAACTGTTCAACCATGAAGCTGACATTCAACACCAACAGCTAACCACTTTAGTTATGGCTAGAGACATTTAGTACCTTCAATACTCCCAGAAGTTTAAGGAAGTAGAAAGCCTTCTCACAAGCATGTGAAAAATTTAAAAAACACCTTACCTCATAAATGTTGGGGTGCCACATTTTGGTCAGAAATCTGAAGGTAGGTGGTGAATATGGATAGTCAATAGGAAATTTAATGTGAGCCTGGAAATAAAGCAAATTATTTTAGTTACAAAACGGAACAACATCAATAAAATAAAAAAAGATCAACAAGCAACCATTACAGTGAAAGACTGGAAAAAACAATTTCAATTAAGTCCATTAAATAGTTCATTTTATGTACCAGTGTCCATGCGGCCCCACAGGATAACTCTACACACAATTTCCTATGAGCAAAACACTAACTGAACAAGAAGAATTGAAACACCAGGACTGACCTGGGCTGGTAATGCTCAGAAAACAAGCCAAAAGGCATCTACCACATCCTAATTCAAGAAGCACTATCCAACAACTGCTGTTAACTGCAGTAAAATAGATCTGAAAAGCTGCAACTTCAGATAGTACTGCTGTCTTTCTGGGTTCAGAAGCAAGCTAAAAGTGTTTGCTAAGGTGAACAGACCTGTTTTGCATTTGCCAGTGCAAATAATTTAAATTACTCTTTCTGTGCATAAAAAGTTGTTAGATACTTGCTGTACTGAGATCAAAAGTTTTTTTGCCTTTCTTGTACAGAATCAAGGTGGTCCATCTATCTGTGTCCCTAATACTACATTTCTTGCCACCACAAGCATTTCCCAAGTCTGAATACCATCTGTGCCTGTTTAATAAATCAGTGCAGCTTGATGAACCGTATACCAATGGGCACTGACAGCAAACATTACCTTCCAGTGCCTCTGAGGTCAGCAGCCAGCTGTGGGGCAAGACTCTCAGAACTGAGTCAGTTGTGGGAAGACTACAGAGATCCCAGCACTGGATGTCAACTTCTCTGTGCTGCCCTGCCATTCACAGCAGTCAGAAATACCAGCCAGCAGGAAAGGCGGCTGAATCTGGACTGATTAATTGCCAAAACTACTGCCCTCTAAAAAGGGGTACTCGCACACTGCTTGCTGTGCTGTGGAGCACAAACCCTTCCCTTGGCACTGCTCAACCCACCAACTCTGGAGATGCATCTCTAGAGAAGCATCTCCTGGCCCCAGCACTACAGCCAGGCTCACGTGTGACTGAGAATGCAAGAAGAGATCTCAAAAGCAAGATGCTCATGGTGAGAGCAGATTTCCAGGCCACCCCCTCCCAGT